CCAAGCCAGACCTGGACACCATTCTGGGTCGATTCCCGGATCTCCGTCACGAAGTTGCCCCACAGTCTCCGCCTTGCGCCCCGGTAGGCCATGTCCCGCCTCTCGACGCACAAGCTATCCTCTTATTACTCCCAAAATGGGAGCTTGGAATCGGAATTGGAGATGGAATTGAGATTTTGAGTGTGTTTCTAATGGCGCCACGACAACGATGGCTTTGCGCTAAATTTTGAGAAGGGGCGGTGGTCGGGAGGAGAAGAGGGTGGGGGGCTCTTGTTTGGAAATTAGATAACACACAAGGACTTATCTACAATTTCAAGAATTTTAATGTAGTATATATGCCAAATTATATTTTAAAAAATATATAATAAATGCATAACAATGTTAGGTAAAATGCACAATATTGCGTGTGTATATTCACATTAAGAATTCAAAAATTTACCAAAATGTCATCGTGCTACATAGTGCACAATAGGGATACACGAAGTGAACAGTAATGCTTGTGCAAATGTACAACAGTGTAACAATTTATTCTGCTCAATGGGCATTAAAAGTTAAAATTACACATAGTTCTATCAGCATAAATAATAGCATTTACCTTATTCTGATTTTGATAAGAGTACTAAAACAGAGCATTGGAAATATTAATAGAACATATATGTTTGAGAATTGTATGATTATAATTTATATGCACCAATCATTTAATATAGAAACATAGGGTACTTTATTAGAGAAAGTATCTAGAGTTCATGCAAAGATTAGATATGCAATGGGGCGTAGCTTTCAGAAGTGTATGATTATACACACCAGTCATTCGGTATAGAAATGAAGGGTACTTTACTAGAGGAAGTGTCTCGAGTTCTTGCAAAGACAACGGACAAATTTTTTGGACGAAACCAAAAAGGTCAGCTTAATAATTTTACGAAAAATGAATCTAGAAATGATAGAAAGAAGAATAAAAATAAAAATATTTCTCAAGATAAGAAAATGCAAGAAAATGGGAATAAGATTAGATTTTTTTACCAAAAAAAAAATCAAAACTTAACTTGCAGACAAAAAAATATAGGGAAAAGTGGGAGTGGAAAGAAATGAAAAGCACGTATTCAGTGAATACGTTTTCTGCAATTTTTAATTGTAAAACGTATTTTGTGAATACGTTTTCTTTTGTAAAAAAATGTGAAAAACGTATCCCTTGAATACGTTTTACAGTGAAATTGTAAAGAAAACGTATTTAGTGAATACGTGTTTTTGATTTTGGTCCACTCCGCCTTTTTCTTTTTGTTTTTTGTCCACTTACTATTTTTTTATTAATAAATATATAAATTACCCAATAAGATTAGGCTCAAAACAACATGTTGTCTTACAATTCATCCGCAATATGACTTTTGACATTACAAAAAAACATCCATATCATCAACTTCAAAAGTGTCTTACTAATTTATTATTCAATGCATCTTGTCATGAACTCTTTCATGATGAAGTAAATGACATTTAATATTAACAGTGATGAGTCATCTTTCTAATACGTAACACCATGTTAAACATAATGGGTCGGCCTAAATATTAACTTCTTCTCAAATTCATGCACTGGAGAAGTCAAATTTCTAATTTTTTAACATTATTCTTATGTGGATTAACATTACAATCATTGATTCACATGTGTTTAAAAATAATTGTCTTTCAAAGCCATAGCATTGAAGATGCTCTCTTAGTCTTGGAGAGTGAGATATATAAAATAAAAGGAAAAAGAAAAAGAAAATCAAACCAAAGTCGAGGCATATTTGTTCGGTTCCGTGATACCAGCAATCACCACGGCATAATTCAGCCCGAAAAATGACCGCATCATAATTCAAAGACTCTCTCTACTCACTAACTCTCCACATTAGCACGTCACTCCACCAAACGAACTCTTCTTATTTGTTGAAAAATAACGAACATATCGCCGAATTCTAAAATGGGAATGGTGAAATCAAATTAAAAACCTGACAAAGCGAACAGTAAGCTATAAGACTACAACAAGTTCAGATCGAACACCATTGTAAGCTACAAGACTACAGCAAGTTCAGTACATCACATTTTCACTTATGACAAACACAATTAAGTAAAAAAAAATCTCGAAACCGGCAACTAATCAAGAAACGAATCAATTACCTCAGCAGTAACGAATCGTCATAAAACTTAACATCATAAGCTGGTAAAAAAATACCGAGAAAAAAAGGTGAAAATGTTTATGAGACAAGAGGAGATCGAGAAACAGGCGATGCACCCGCCGGTCGAGCCGGTGACGATGTGGTCGAAATTGGGGTTAGGGTTAGGGTTTGGTGCGCGAGGATGGTCCGAAAAACTATCGGCGACACCTGAAAAACGCGCCGGCGGATTTCAATTTATGCTCTTCATCACCCTGCGTCAATCTTCTTCAACTCCACGTCGCCGTCGGATTTCAATTTATGCTCCGACGCAGCCCGGGCGGGTTTCCATCTAAGCCGCTGACCCGATTTGGGACCACCGGTGAGCGCCGACAACTGGACGGTGGGCTCGCGGCCGGCGGCGGTCGGCTTAGAGAGCGGCGACCAGATTGTGGAATTCTAAAATCTAAGGCTAGCGACTACCCGTGCAGAGTCGACCAAAGTCGAGCATGGCGGCTATGTTCGCGATGATCAGCTGCGTCGTCGTCTCTTCTGGAAAATATCCTCCCGCGTGATGCACACAGAAAAGACACGATTTTTCCGTATATTTTATTTTCGAAGCTTGCGCTAAGTACTTCTATTCCTCCTCGTATTAGGCAACAAGAATCCTTTCCATAGTAGGCAATGAATGTATTGGATCCCATTGAATGTATAAATTGATTGCCATATTATATTTATATATACACTTTAACTTTACAGGACACACAAAAACAACAACAACAACAACAACAAAAAAAAAAAAAAAAAAATCTATATTAGAATCAAGTTATATTAGAATCAAGTTTGACATGTTGGGAAATAACTTTGTGGACATCGAGGGGAAAGGGGAAGAAATCTTGAACTTTTTACGGGGTGGCGAGGAGAAAATGGATGAGTTCGAGAGGATAATGGATGAGTTCGAGGGAGAACTTTCGAGAATCATCGGGTTGGGAAGTCTCAAGACACAGCTCCGGTGCTGGGCCAAGCAAATGCTGATCGACGAAAAACGTCGAAGCCTCTCCATCAAAGTCGGCCAAAGAAGGCCCCCTCACATGGCCTTCCTCGGAAACCCTGGAACTGGTAACTATTTACTTTCCATGATTTTGAATTCAGAGTCATTATATGAATTATGTTCTCTAATCAGTAGTTTAGAGAAGATAGATTGTAACTGATGTGGCATAGCATATAACAACAGGTAAAACAACAATAGCCCGGCTGATTGGGAAACTCCTGCACATGGTCGGCTCGATTCCAAGCAGTAAGGTTGTGGAAGTGCAACGGACCGACTTGGTTGCAAAGTATATTGGTCAGACAGGGGCACAGACAAGAGCAAAGGTAACTAACTATATATTATACTATTAAAAAAAAAAAGATATATTTGTAAGAATACAGATGGAATAATATATATCTTGCGTAGATCAAGGAAGCTGAAGGCGGGATTCTGTTTGTAGATGAAGCGTACCGCCTAATGCCGACAAATTTGCAGACAGGCGATTTCGGGAAGGAGGCTCTTGAGGAGATGATGTCCCACATGGACAAAGGCAACATAGTCGTCATATTCGCGGGCTACCGTGAAGAGATGCAGCACTTGATATCCGCCAACCCGGGCTTCAGAAGACGTGTCACCAAGTTTTTCTACTTCGACGACTTCACCTGTCGGGAGCTTGCAAACATTGCCCATCTCAAAATATGTGATAATAGGAGCCCTCTGTACGGTTTCAGGCTGCACGAGTCGTGCACCGTGGCCCGGATAGCCGAGAAGTTGAAGCAGGAATCCTCTGTGGAGCAGCGCAGGGAGATGAATGGGGGTTTGGTGGATTTGATGCTTGTTAATGCGAGAGAGAGTTTGGATGGGAGGCTTGATGTCTCGTGTCGGGATATTAACACGTTGCTAACGATCACGTTGGAGGATTTGGTTGCCGGGCTTAGGTCGATGAAGGAGCATAAACACTTAATGAACAAGGACTTGGCGGCCGAGATTAAACAGCTGCCCAAAAACGACTCGGAGGAGGACTTGGCAATGAGGAAGGTCTTGGAGGACTTTGCAGCCGAGCTTCGGTCGATCAAACAGCAGCCCAAACATGACTCGGAGGAGGACTTGGAAATGAGGAAGATGTTGGAGGACTTGGCAGCCGAGGTACGGTCGATCAAACAGCAGCCCAAACAACACAAAAAGCTCAAGAAGAGGGGAGTGATGAGTTTTTTTCTCAGTGATAATAACCTGGGACTCTCTCTTATTTTTTCATTATTATGCTGCTGGTTATTAGTGATTACTTTTATTTGTATGGATTTTGTTCATAAACAAAAATCTCTGGGCTGAGCTTTCATATTTTGTAGTTTCTTTTCTTATACCCAATTCAAGATTTTGTGGGTGGAGCACTTTGGACTTTTGTGTATTTTTGTTAGTCTACAATATTATCTACTTTAGAATCCAACATACAGATATATAGCCCTTTGAAATAAATAAATTTCTTACACAGGCGCACATGACATGACCTGCAAGTAAAATTGATTTTTCACCGATTCTATCTTGAGTTACATTTTTTTTTTTTTTATTTAGGTGTTTACGTGTTATATTTTTCTTGGCGATATCTGTCATTTGAGCATCTCCAATGTTATAATGTTGTTATAGAAATTTTTTGACAAATGTCAAAAAATTAAATAGATTGTGAACTATGTAGGACAAATGTTGAGTTCACAACTATTAAATTTAAAAATCATCTCCAATGCACAATGTTGCCTAACTACAATATTATCTACTTGCCAAATAATAAAATTTTAATATGAATTAATAAAATTAATTAAATAATTAAATAGTTTAAAATGGTAATAATAATTCTCTCTCCTCTCCTCATTGGCTAAGTAGAGTGTGGAGGAGAATCAATACTTATATAAAGGCATTCTATTTACTAGAATTAGTAGTAAGAAAAGTCAAGGTAATTAATACATTCTATTTCCATCAAGTATTTTATTTAATTATTTTAGTTAATTGTTTTATCTCATAACACCTTTTCAATACAACTTACCATGATTTTTCTATTGTGATTAAAAATCAAATTTTACATTTAAATCTTGTGAAATTATTATTATTATTATTATTATTATTATTATTATTATTATTATTATTATTATTATTATTATTATTTAAAGCACTTATTATTTGTTAAAAAACTATATATATATATATATAATACACATCACAATACCATGATAAATGATTAAGTTTCAACCGACCAAAATGTCAATGATTTAAATTTGAATATACCTATGCCTTTGACCAAATATCTGGATGATTTAAAATTGAGCCCATGAAAAATTATTTAAATTTGAACACACCAGAAATTTTATGTACTTTTTATTTATAAATATATTGAAAGTGGTATTTAATGGCTGTTATATAAACTATTTTAATATATTTGCAATGAATAAAAGTTTGAATGAATAATTTGTAATGTTATTCATAATGTTTGTGACTTATGAGACACGAACACATAACTCCATACATATTTGCCAGAAGGCGACTTAATAATTTTTTAGATTTAACGTTGATTAAAAGAGGTAGAAAATAGATAATAACATTATTACTTTTTAGACTTAAACGGACAAGGCTGTGAATATAACTCATTTAATTTCTTTGTCCTGTGCATCGCACGGGGTACCTACAAGTGTGGATGAACCACATTCTTCTCTACATTGTAAACATTAATTATGCCCACATCGTCACAACATTTGTAATCACATTGTACATTAGAGGATGAAAAATTGTGATACTAATAAATGTGTTGATGTGGAATGTAATTACCACTACAACATTGAGCATTGAAGATGCTCTAACTGAGGCTAGTGTGCTTAATAGCTTATTTGGCATAAATAAATGCTTCGTATTGATACATGCCCAGATTTGGTTTTGACTTTTGACTATTAGCGTTCGAAATTATCATAAATTATTCTAAGTTTCCTTTTTTCTTAAGTTACCATGTACGACTATTACCTTTTTTATTTACTTCTTATATTAATTATTATAAATATGTATTCTTTTTATTTTTAAAACTATAAAAATTTTTTATTTGTATTTTATTTTTATATATGATCTATGTATTCATTTTAGTTTTAAAACTATGTAAAAATTTTTATTTGTATTTTATTTTTTATATATGATTTACCAAAAAAATCATATTTTAACAATCTTCGATTTGACATCGATATTGCATATATAAATAAAAATAATTTCATCCATATTTATAAATAAAATCGATTTTACTATCAAGTCAATATAAAAAACATCTAATAAAAATATAAACTATTTTATAAAAATAATGAAAATCCAATTCATTAATACACCATAAAATTATTCTATTGATTGTTTCATAAATTTTGGAGAAAATTACATAAAATAAATTTTAAGAAATATTATAAAATATTATTTCTCAATTTAAATAGTTTATATAAAAAATTGAATGTTATTATGTTTTTTTTTTAAAATAGTAAGTATAAGAAAATATCGTAATTAAATACAGCAAAATAATTTTGTATTTCATAAGTTAGAAAGTAATAAATTTCTACGTATATTCTAAATTATTAATTATATGAATTTAAAATACTTGAAAAATTAATAAACGTGAGACATTGACTCTATAAATATAAATATAACCACAATACAATAAAATTTGATTTGTTTTCAAAAATCGAATCAAATATATGAAGTTGTAATTTATATCAGTTTTATACATATATAATTTAAAAATATAATTTAAAATATATTTTTTTTGGCAAATTTAGTGTAAAAATATGGTCACCATTTGTATATTTTAATTTTTATTGTAAAAATATTAATATATTTAAGTACCGTGTAGTACACGGATATCGTACTAGTTAGAGTTTAAAAATAAATTAAAATATATCAAAAGCATGTCAGGGTTTGTAGACAAATTTCAGAATTCCGGCCATAAGGTCATCTAAACCGAGAAACTCATTCAATTCTATTTTGCACTAACTGTCACATCAAAAATTACTTCATTTTTAATTCAAAAACTCATTTTCAAAATCAAAAAAATATTTTCGAAATTTTTCTTTTAGAACTTTTCAATACTACTTATATATTTTACAACTTTACAGATTAAACAACATTATTATTTTAAATTCGATTGGAAATTTACGACATAAATTAATTATAAAGTTAAAAATGATATATATAATAAAATCGGATAAATAAATATTCATTAAAAACTATAAATTACAATGCACAAAATGAACTAAAAGTACATTGAGCTGAACATGAAATAATTATTCGTACAAGTAAAAAAAAAAAAAA